CTTGCATTGAGTTGTATATATAGTATATGCCGTTCTCCTTGCATTGATGTTGTATATGTTGTAGATGTCCATCTCCTTGCAGGATGTTGTAAATGTTGTATATGCCTTCTCCTTGTCTAGGGATGTTGTATATGTTGTATATGCCTTCTCCTTGCATTGATGTTGTATATGTTGTATATGCCTTCTCCTTGCATGGATGTGGTATATGTTGTATATGCCTTCTCCCTTGCATTGATGTTGCATATGTTGTATATGCCTTCTCCGTGCATTGATGTTGCATATGTTGTATATGCCTTCTCCTTATATCCAGATACAAAGCTCTGGCCAAGGCAGTGCAGGATGTGCGTGGTGACTTTGCGCCGTACGCTGTGTGTGGGTCACTGCCGCTGGTGGGCGATCTCAAGAAGGGTGGCCTAGACCTGCAGATGATTGGGTGAGTGTGTTATGTGTCGTGTGCAGATGATGGGGTTAGTGTGTTGTGCATTTCATGCGCAGATGGTTGAGTTAGTGGGTTGTGCGTAGTGTGCTGTAACGTTCACTTGTATGTTGGGGGTGTCGTTGGGTGTACAGTAGAACACGCAGAGCGCATGCATGCATTGCCCAAGACAGAATCACTCATGCATCGATTGCTGTTTTATGTTTTATTCATTTGCTGTTCATTCATTATTCATTTGCTGTCCATGTTTCATTCATTTGCTGTCCTTATGTGTGCAATGACTGTACTATAGAGTGCGCATAACCCCAAGACCATAGCAGCCAGTCATACACCTGTCATACACCTGTCATACACCTGTCATACACCTGTCATAAACCTGTCATGCACATATGGCATTCGCATAGGGTCAGCAACCTCAGCCGTTCTGCCCTGGGCCCTTTCTTTATTTTATATTCACTCTGACTTCATAGTGTAGTGCAGATAATCACGTCTTGTCATCACTTGTCTTGTTTGTTGCGCTACGTTCCATCCTTCATTGATCCCGTGTAATCATGTACTGAGCAGTCGTTAACGTTTATTCCGTGCACAGGTTCGGACTCCTCACAGCCTATCATGCCAACAACGAGTTTGTAAGTGCCCCTGTGGTTGCTGTTTTAGGTTTTAGGGTTTAGAGTTTTAGCTTATATATCGCATGTGTATTGTATGTGTGTGGTCTCTCTCATTCACTGCATGTCTACACCTGCTGCACTGTATACCATTCCAGTGCTCCTCTGTGTTGCGTTATATCTCTTGCGTGTTATATATGTGTGGTCTCTCTTTTGCTGCATGTCGTCGTCCAATTGTCGTTGATAATGTCACTTCCCTTTTCACTTTCGTTTTTTTCCCTTTGGCGTTGGTTTCTTCTGTCATGGTTGTTTCACTTTCATGTCATTCTCTTTGGCGTTCAGTTGTTTCACTTTCGTGTCATTCTCTTTGGCGTTCAGTTGTTTCACTTTCGTGTCATTCTCTTTGGCGTTCAGTTGTTTCACTTTCGTGTCATTCTCTTTGGCGTTGGTTTCTTTTGCCATGGTTGTTTCACTATCGTGTCATTCTCTTTGGCGTCGGTTTCTTTTGCCATGGTTGCGCGCAGTGCGAAGGCTATCAATCGCCTCAACCGTACTCCCACATACAAATTTATTACGATATGCAACATAACATAATATATATAACATATACAAAATACATAGAACGTATAGCATATAACATCCATAATATATATCATATACAACATACATAGAACGTATAGCATATATCATATAACATGTAACTTGCAGCACATAATATATAACATATGCAACATACATAGAACGTATAGCGTATAGCATATAACATTTAACATATCATAATATATAACATGTAACTTACAATCTGTAACATATCATAATACATAACATATAACATACAACATGTAACATAACATAATATATCACATATGACAAATTTTCTCTATCTGTGAATACAACTCATCGCCCCTGTCCAATTCTCCGTGTGCTACAGGCTCTGTTGTCGGACTTTAAAAATGGCGGCAAAATACTGGCAAAGTTCTTGGCGGAAATCAGTGATAGTAATTAAAGAATGAATGAAGATGGTTTTAACATTGTTTGTTGTTAATTATTATTACTTTGGCACAATACTGGCAAAGTGTTTGGCGGAAATCATTGATAGTAATTAAAGAATGAATGATGATGGTTTTTAACATTGTTTATCGTCAGTTATTACTAATTTGGCAAAATACTGGCAAAGTTCTTGACGGATATCAGTGATAGTAATTGAAGAATGAATGAAGATGGTTGTGATATTTCTTTCCAGATTCATTCTTCATTCATAATTAATTTAGTTCGTCCTCTAGTGCACCAGCCGATGGTTTAATTGTTTATTATCATTTATTATTACTTTCCGGATTCATTCTCCATTCAAAGTTAATTTAGTTCGTCCTCTAGTGCACCGTGCGTGAGTGCGTACGGTGCAGCGGGTCTGCATAGCACAGCCCAACTAAGCCATGTCAGTTTTAAGAGTGCATTCGCATCTAATCGATTGATCTGTTACTCTTGTGGGAGAGTGATCAAGTGACCAATTACTCCTTTGTCTGTGGTAGGTAGATTACTCCGCCTTCGTCTGTGGTAGGTAGACCTTCTCAGCCTCCTTCAACTCATTGTCGTCTTGCAGTCTGAAGATCTCCTTGACAGTGGCAATCTGTGGAATTGAAGATTAGGGTTTTTAGAGTTAGGGTTTTGATGACGCATGGGCTTATCATGATGTATGGTGAAGCGGACCTGTGCGCAGAAGGATGTACGGTGGAGTGCTCCCATATTCAAATGATATTTGTGCCATCAGAAACTAACGATGCAATGAATAAACACGAAGATAGTCATTAGCACTGCACGCACTCGGAAGAATCTCTTGGAGACAGCGCGTGTGAAATCTTCCGACAGTGTTTTTGATGTATTGTTGTATTGTATGTATTAAATAATGTTGTATTGTAGGTGTTAAATAGTGTTGTATTGTATGTATTAAATAATGTTGTATTGTAGGTGTTAAATAGTGTTGTGTTGTATGTATTAAATAATGTTGTATTGTAGGTGTTAAATAGTGTTGTGTTGTATGTATTAAATATAGTGCTGTATTGTAGGTTTTAAAGGGTTTTAGGGTTTAGTAAACCCTAAAATCGGTTTTAAATAGTGTTGTATTGTATAGTGTTAAATTGCATGTTTTAAATATAGTGTTGTATTGTATGCTTTTAAATATAATGTTATATTGTAGGTTTTATATAATAGTGTTGTATTGTAGGTTTTAAATATTGTATTAAATTGTATGTTTTAAATATTGTGATGTATTGTATTGTATGGTTTAAATAGTGATGTAAACTAGATTTCAATTCGAAAAATAAATGATCCCACTTGATCTTTTCTTTCAGTTCGCACAGTCTGAAAGTAGCGTCTACACGCTCACCAAAATCCAAGCTGACACTACAACGACCACATGACAAACATCCCAAACGCAAACTCGCGTTGGCAAACTCTTCCGATACCACACCTAACCCATAAAACCCTATAACATATCCATACCTTGGGTGTGACACCGACAATGGACTCCTCCTCGAAGATTTGCTTAGAGCAGTCCTGTACAGCCTTGATGGATGCGCGTACGTTCATGTTGGCCCAGATCACAGTGGAGATGCCCATTTTGCGGAAGTCGTCGGTGGGAGTGGTGGGGTAGTTGGTGGGCACAATCACCACGGGACACTGTGGTCACAAGAAAGACACAGACCGTTACATGCTACCAGTCTGTTCACATGAGGTGTGTTCACGAGAAAAGACACAGCCAGATAAACGGATTGGAAAGTACAATTCGGTTCACATGAGGTGTGGTAACGAGCCTTGTTTCACAAAAAACCCTAAACACCGCAATTGCCACTCGGCATACCATCAACAACCCAACCCCAGAATACACAGATGATAGCAGGAAAAGAATGCACCGATGATAGCAGGACAAGAGTGCAGTCCGGATAAAAAGATGGGTGCTTTTTTCTTCTTCTGGCTTACTCAAAATCACCACAAACTAGCAATTCACCGTGAAATCAAGGATGCAAACGCAGAGGTGCCTTCAGCATGTACGTCGTGTTGGATGAATAGCTTGCGCATCTACACACCTCTAAGATCAACTACACGCCTCTAAGGAAAGCTCCAATTGCAGTGTATTGCACTGGGCCTCGAGTGGCCACAGCAAAGTGCGTACCAGATACCACAGCACAGTTGAAGACAAGACACGCACATGCACACGAGAGAACTATATATTGCGCACAAACTGTACAATTGAAGACAAGACACGCACATGCACACGAGAGAAATATACATTGCGCACAAACTGTACAGTTGAAGACAAGACACGCACATGCACACGAGAGAACTATACACTGCGCACAAACTGTGCAGTTGAAGACAAGACACGCACATGCACACGAGAGAACTACATACTGCGCACAAACTGTACTGCCAACCCGTGACCCGCATCTTGTGCATGGCACCACATACCCGCTTGTCCCACTTCTCCATGAAGGATATGATGTCACTGGGGTCTGACTTCTTGGAGTGGATGAGCACGGCATCTGCGCCGTAGTCGGCGTATATCTTGGCTCGTTTGAGCGTCTCCTCCAGTCCCCAACCGGCAATGAATGACTCTACACGTGCTACTACACAGAAGTCCTTGTCTTTGACCGAATCCTTCATTGCCTACTCTCAGAGGACGTGTGCAGGGGAGAGAGAACCAGCGACTAAGCATCAAACAAAGGAACACAGTGAGTGATATATAACAACCCAGTACACTCGAAGCAAACGTTACTATCATATGATAGTATGTGTACAGCTGACAAGGGCTATACAATAGAAGCTTCGTTGCTGACAGAGATTCGGATAGTACACCAAGTCCAACACTGTGTGTACTTTGACTAAACCAATATATGTATATGTATATATTTATACGTATATGTGTATGTATATGTATATATATATATATATATATGTATATATATATATATATGTATATTTATATATGTATATATATGTATATATATATGCACATAGACCATAAGAAGTGATGACCTATTTTTGGCATATTCTAACTACCATCGACATACGTTAGCTTCATTTCTGGACACCACACATCTGCGTAGTCTGTAACTTCCAATTCTATCATGCACATTTAATGCGTTAAAATATTATAACGGTAAACTACTTCGTGCCCGTAGTCCTGGCACCTGAGTTGTTCCATACGTTAACGGGCTCTTACCTTAATCTTCATGCCAAACTCTTCAGGGTCGGCTAGTGGCTGTGCACGTGCGTCCAGCAACGAGTTGGTCTTTGGAAACAACTTGTCTTCAATACACACACCGGCTACCCCTCGCTCTTCCAACTGTAAAATACAAATTGCAATTCGTAGCATAGTCAATTGACAAGTCATGACATACACTATGACACTCATGACACCATTCAATCTCACCCTGTACACAGATGTAGTCAATTGACAAGTCATGACGTACACAATGACACTCACGGCACCATTCAATCTCACCCTGTACACAGATGTAGTCAAGTGACAAGTCATGTCATATACAATGACACTCACGACACCCTCGGCCTGTACATAGATGTGACAGTACGTGCGTATTTGTAGCACCATTTAATGCGTAGCAATATAAATTATGCGATGATCACTCTTATCTATAGATGATGTACATGCACTGACCCATTTTATGATATGAACATGATGGTGTGCTAAAGTTGTTTCGGGTATGTGCGCGCTCACTCGAATGGCATTCAATTGCAAGTGAGTTAAAGAGGAAACAGCTATACTGGTTCAGAGAAATCAGGCAAACTCCGCTTTGCATTCGTATGAAGCTTCACCTTATTTATCAAATACATTTGCCCTCCCAGTTGTCGGAGCGTTGAGATGAGCAACCACCCAATACACGAACGGCAGACCAGACATACCTTAACAGCTAGACGACGGGCGTTGTTAAAGTTACCGAATCCTGTGTCGCCGTCTAATAAGATTGGGATGGTGGTATTTTCAGCCATGAACTCCAAAGTGTCAACTACCTGAATTTGTAAACAAAATAATATTTTAGTTTGTGGCGTTAACCATCAGAACGTTTACATACGCTGGCAAATTCAGATGCATCATAATCATACAACCCGTTAGAAATCACCCTCAAATGGGACACACCCCTTTTGAGATTACCTCACAGTTGGTGCTTAGAGGTAAATGTATGTTACTCTCAAATTATTTATAAGCTTATACAGATGCGCGTAAATATCTCCAGCGTATATAGTTCTGATGTGGTGACAGATGGTAAATAACCACACCACAACCACGCCACTCTATATATCATCTGAGTACAAAATGAGTCTTCTCATTCTTCTCATTATCCCGTTGTACCTGGGTCCAGGACAGCTCGTTGCTGTCTCGCACACCGTGCTGTGCACTGATAGACAATCCACTGCCCCAGATGCCCTTGAATCCAGTTTCTTCAACAATCTGTGTGGATGTCAGAAAAACATTATATAGGTGCCAATTCGGGAATACACAACGGCTCGCAGTACGAACATACATCAGGCAACGTCAGGAAGATCCTGTTGTTACATATATACTTAAATGACAACCCAAATCAAAATTCGAAGCCGATCACCAGAAAGACCCCCGAAACATACTGCTCTTCACAAGTATCTGTATATACAACTCAAGTCATTGTGGTTTATAATGTCGAACTCTAGCAACACCAGTCCTCCATATTGTGGATGACGGTATGTATCCCGGCCGATACTAGAAGATATGTACTTGAAACGATTCACCTTTAGATGGAGATACAATACAAAAGACAATAATCTTCAGGGAAGTAAAAAACTCAAAAATAAATTGAACCTTTCTACTTAGCGTGGTTGTGCCCAAATATCTGTGACAGCTGTAAAGCAGAACACGTGCCCAGGTGTTGTATATGCAATTGCATCTATACACGAAAACGAGGTTGTCACAATCAAACGTTATAAAATAAAAAATGTAAAGTTTCACAACTTAGGTTTTGATCTACAAACTGAATTAATCTAAAACAAACTGTAGTGCATTTTGGACTCGGCGATGGGCTAAACGACATGTGTGGCTTGCTGCCAACAACTGGTTCGAGTACCGCGTACGAGAAATAACCACAATGTAAAATGTAAAATGTAAAACGTACCTTGGCTGTTAGACCATTGTGAGCCTCCATTAAGAAACATAGTTCTCCGCTATTTAACATCTTCTTAAGTTTTGTTGTTTTTCGCTCTCCTCCGCCAGTGGCCAATGAACGAATGACGTTCAGGGCTGGTACGGTGCTCGTGAAAGCGACGCTCGAAGCGCGAGATAAACGGACAGCAGATAGCATTGTGAAAGTTGCTGTGGATCTGGATACAAAGTGCTGCACTATTAACTAATCACTAATGATAGACAGTTAGAAGTTAGTGTCTATTGCGTATCAGTACATATATACATATATATATATATTTATATATATATATTAATAATTTGTGAATATCTGTAGTTTCACATTTGATGAGCGATATTTTGGTGCGTCTGACACGAGCCGACAGCCCGACAGCCCGACAGCCCGACAGGCGTCAACCGCCGAAAATTAAATAATTTGATAATATTTGCTTGACAACCAGAGATAGGCAGCATAGTTACCATTCTTTGAGACTTTCGGTACTTGATTTCATTTTCCAATTGTGTTTCTTTTTTTTCTTTCTTCGTTTAGAAATGAGAAAACTCTGCCGGCTGCAGACCTGCAGCCGCAGGCTACAGTCTGCACTCTATTTAAGTATATACTAAATATTTAGCAGTATTTAAATAACAGACCTTCACCTCCTCCAAACGGCACAAATAAATAAATAAATACAAACTCAAAAATTACTAATTTAGGATTAAACTCGTATCCAGACTCCAGAGTGACCAGACTGTCGCTCTCTAGTATAGAGAAGCCAGGATCCAGAGTCCAGACTTCACTCCCCATTGTCCCCAACAAGAAGTCCCCAACCCTTAATATATAGCCCATAGCCTCCTAATCATGGCCCTCTGGATTTGGATCTAAATAGAAATCAGGTTTCGTCCGACGAAACTGTTTTTTTGGAAATCGCACAGTTCAAAAAGTCGACCAAATATATTGGGGAAAGTGTATTTTGAAGCTATTTTCATTTTGACAACTATTTGAGCCTTCACAAAAATCGAAGAAAAAAAGGATTGAACTATTTAAGCCTTCCCAAAATGCAAAGAAAAAAAGGAGTTTTTGTTTTTGTTTTGAAATTATGTTGTACATACAAGAACAAAATAAAAATTGAGGTGAGACATGGCCCGAGCGCACGGCGCAAGGGGCCATATTTTAGCTTTTCAAATGGGGACACTGGAAATGAGAACTGAACAACTGTAGTAGAAAACATATTTTTCATAGTGTTTACAACTTTACATTTTATGTACTATTTTCCGTTAAAAAAAAAGATAAATAATAAAAATGAAAAAAGTCCGCCCATCTGCGATAACAAAGTAGATTTCACCAATGAGCTGCGAATATATATTTACCTCTTGAGGCCGTGTGGCGACTGGGGTGAGGGGTGACTGGTGAGTGGTCCGCCTCTCTCACTCTATTTAGTAGTCGATTTATTGTTAGGAGTCCATGGTATGGCTAAATATGAATGAAATACTCCCATCTATTTTTGGAATTTGGAAAACATGTGGCCTGATTCTTCTGACAATCTGCGGGGGGGATTTTCGTGAATGTTTGTGACACACTCTGACCACTGTGAGTCATTCGAGATCAGGCCATACAGCCGATGTCCGCTGTTGTTGGCTGGTGTTCATTCATGATTAAAAAACAAAAAATTTAATCTGCAAAAAAGCTGCTCATTGGCATCCGGTCGTCATATCACGGCAAGAGGTGTGTCTACTGGCTGCTTTATTGTTGTTTGGATGTGGACGTTGGATTCTTTGTAATATGTATCTCGTTGACAAGTTGGACTTTCCAAATGAGTTCCGGATTGTACACTACTAGCACTAATAACCTTGACTTTTTACGCCAATTTCGACCGTTCTTTTACCTACAATTCTGTCTTTCTGACCTCTATACTTTGTGTTTACGAATACACTTTTACGATTAAAGCGCACCCTCCTGCATATAACCGAATAACGCATTATGTCGGATACTCATTCCAGTGACGAGCGAAACCCAAAGAAAATCAAAATGACTAAAGGTATGCAGTTATTTCGAGGAATCAAGAGAACTATGGCTACCTTGGCTCAAGGAGGTACATAACTCTGCTTTTCGCTCAGTTGTCGCTTCTTCATTAAATTTTGGCCCTCTGAACAATAATTCATATATCCTCAGTAATATGCTAGATCATTCGATTTTCCTGATTTAACACGAGAACGTGGTCGTTTGCTAATGTGCGTTGTTATCGACACTACTTTTCGTTTAGGACCGATTCAAGTCGGTGCCACCGTGCCCAGTGTGACTTTCAAGTGCCGAGTGCGTGATGCCGAGTTGAAGGTATGTATCGATTTGTTTATTATTCTGCATCTTCAAATTTGAGTGCACAATACATGGGATACGATACTTCCGTGTCCTTTTCTTTTGTAGATTTGTACCATTATCATGATTCTAAAGCATTGTATTCGTATACTATGCGATGTTTTAGGCTAAGGGAGAGGAGAACCCCTTCGCGTGGAAGGATGTGACTTCAGAGGATCTTTTCAAGGGAAAGCGAAGCGTTATCTTCTGCCTTCCCGGGGCTTTTACGCCCACTTGTTCATCCACACATGTCCCCGGCTATGAGAAGAAATACGAAGAGCTAAAGGCTGCTGGCATTGATGAAGTATATTGCTTTTCGGTCAACGATGCTTTTGTTATGAGACAGTGGGGTCTAAAGCTGGGCCTAACTGAGGACATGGAAACAGGTAACTTCAAGAATGTCAAGCTCATTCCCGATGGAGCGGCTCTATTCACCCGTGGTATGGGACTCAACTGTGTGTGGGAAGTTGAGAGAGGTTTCGGAGAACGTTCATGGAGATACAGTGCACTGATTAACGACATGAAGGTCGAGGCTATCAACATCGAACCCGGTTTCGTGAACAGTGAAGAAACTCGTGACTTTGGCCCTGATCCTTTCGAGGTCTCAGATGCCGACACAATGCTTAAGACCATCAATGCTCTTAAGGAGGAGTAAATGGCGCAGTGTACGCTTGAATGTGTAACGTGCGCATGCGTGGTGAATACACCACTTTACTGAAAGGTTCCGTTGAACCAATGATTATCAGAAATTGTTCGAGCGTTGCCTAGTACTTATATCCGGCGCTCTGTCTCTGTAGTCCGGCTGCTATTTATGTATACGGGATGATAAGTGCCTTGGGAATAGAAATAGAGGAAACAGTATCTCTTTCTACGATCGTGGACTGTACTAAATAAATCAGTCTGTTTTTGACAGGCAATCAACTTATAGAAGTATCGATTTTGTTAATCCGGTAGGATGTGTGTAATGCACCATAAGTTACTACTAATGACGGCGTAAAGGTTTGTTGCCCAAAAGAATATTTAAAATGATTACTATTTCGGACAAATGGAGTGTATCTTAGTCGTCGGATAATACTTATGCCAGTATTAATAGTCCGCCGCTCAGAATGATTTTAAACCGGTTAGAAAATTGTACACCTTACACTTTACATGCGCTTTTAATCCACCAAACTGTTTTTTGCAATGAGCCTTTTATGTGTTAAATTTTACATTAGTTAATACAATCTTAAAGTAGTTATTGAAAAGTAGTTATTGAAGCTGTTGAGGATTTCAAATTTAATTAGTTTTGAAGAACTCAAAATTTATACTTTGCTATACGATTGCCGCTTGTGTATATTATACAAAGTGATTAGGCACCAGCCTGCCTATGTATTGCATTTTAGCAGGTGACCTCTGAGGTAATTTGTTACACCTCCATTAGTTTTGTGCGCGGCACATTTAAATCTTAATTAGCATTTTAAGTTTTGTACAGTGGGACCGAACGATCATACTTGAACGCGTTCGTATCCCGACACCTTGAAGGGTCGGCGCCCACCCCAGTTAGACTGACAAGGGTTTTGGGTTTTTAAATTGTGGCTGCGCATACGAGGCAGACTATAAGACAGTATGCATCTTGACCAGCCCTGTTGCTGGCCTGCAAAACTCGGGAAGCATACGTGGCGTTCGTCTACATCAATGATCATGACCTCTGAGTGTCCCATCAGGAGACCAGAGACAGAATTCATCGGAAAGAGGATATATGGCAGACACAGGGTGCGGTGTACTATTTACAACATTCCTTCGCGTGTTCTCATTTGCCGTGTCGCAGGTGCTGTCACGGCTGGACGGTAGAACTGACTTTCCCAAACAAACTGAAGCTATAATACATAACCAACAATCAATACTTCAAAAATAACTTATGAAGGACTGCGTGTTCAGAAATTGCCACTCAAGCTAGAGCCGTCCCCTGACAGCGGCGAAGATGCCATAGGCATAAACGAAGACATATCCAACAAATCAGCGTTCCACGCAGGCAAACCAGGCATTCCAAACACCGCACGAGGCTCTAGCGCTGGCATCAAACGCGCTGGCATAACGTGTGGCACAGCAGCAGCAGGTGTGGTTGTCAAGGGAACCTTCATGGCACTTGAACTGAGATCGGGCAGTTCAAAGTTTGGCAGAGAGGCCGAGGCGGCTACGTCTGGCACAAACGTATTGGGCAGTGTTGAGTCTGTGGGTAGCGAACCGCCAGCCTGAGCTAAACTCAGCGGTGACTGAGACAGATCAAACAGCAGCTTGGCGTAGTATTGCGATTGAGAAGGATCGGAGAGACCTACCATGGCACGCTGCGTTATGGCGGCCCGCATGCGCACTACCTCCGTCTTGAGAGAATCGACCTATTAAATGAAGAAAACAAAAGGAAATAAATTGAGGTCAAGCACTTCCAGGCAGAGAACAGAAATGGTAAACGAGTGCTGAAGAGTATGGTGAAGAACTGTAGACTTACCGTGGCATTCAGGCTAGTGATGCGAGATTCCTTAGCGTCCACAATCAATTGCAGCTTGCTGCGCTCAACCTTTTTGCGTTCACGAGCACGAGCTGACTCCTGGCGACACCGCTCCAACTGTTCTTTGGTTCGCATACGACGCTTGGTCTTGCGCTTAGTTTTCATTTCCTTTTGCTCTCTGGCAACTGCCGTCGCCTATCGTAACAATGAGAAAATGAAGGATAATGTTGAGCAGGGGACTACCAAGAGGAATAAATCATGTCAAACACACTCGTACGGTACACCTATCCGAATAAGTTCGGTGCAGTATCTGCGGCTAGCGTTCACTACATACCGTGTCCTCATTGTGTGTAGCTTGTTTGAGATCTTTGCCGTCCCACAGCTTATCAGCAATAGCCAATTCAAGTGGATTTGAACTTATGGAATCCAGACGCAAGGTGGACACATCTGGTAGTCGGTTGACCGATGAAACTTCAGTGGGAGGTCCCGCATGCTCGGGAGGCACAAGTGGATCCTGGGTTGATTAAAGAGCAGCATAGTACAAGTTAGTGGCTCAGTCAAGATATAACAGATAATAGAACAATCACGAAATGAATTCATTGCAAAGCAAGAAACCAGAAGTGTCCTAAATCAAACTATAATTTTAGACAAACAGGTGGAGGCGAACACATACGTAAAATGATAATGCACTCGCGAGATGCGACCTGAGTTATAGCCGTAGTAGCAAAGACTGTTACATACCTCTACAGGGACTTCCACCGTGACGTTGTCGTTTGTAGGTTGCTCGCTCTCAATAGGCTTGAGCTTCTTTGCTGCGGCACGTGTTTGTCCGTCCAGAAACGAAGTAAACTCTTCGCCGTCGTCCATAAACCTCTTAAGAGAGCCCTGAGGTGTACTCACGGTATCTACACCCGAGTCGTGACTCGAGGGTGAGCCAGTTCGTGTTAGCGACTGTCCTGACAAATCCAGGCCTTCCAGTCCGGTGGAGAACGGGAATATTGCATCCAGGTCCATGTTGGGTGTCCAGTTGGGTGTGAGTGCGGCCAACTCTTCCGCACTGGCCGGCTCGGGGCATAGTGGAGTCAGTTCCTTGGAGAACGGGTCTTCAATTTGTGACACAGAGCTGTAACACGAACGCGAGAATATAATAGAATGAGAATATGTACGAAGGAAGAGATTCCTCTATTCAGCCACAGGAATACACTTATGACACGAACCTGAGCCAGTCTGAATATCTTTTGAAATACAAAACTCTATGGGCCAAAACAAACTTGTACCTGGAATTGTTTTCAGTCACAAGACTTAAAAGATTAACAATCGTACACCTATAAGTGCTTGCACTCACAAGACTCAAAAGATTAACAATCTTACACCCATAAGTGCTTGCACTGTATACAAAACATCGAAGCTATGCTGTCTTGGCAGGTACACGTACCATTAAGAAGTGTACAACCTAGTATGAAGTGTACAACCGATGCACACGTGACAATACAGAAAGCGAGCAAGAGCTGCAAATTGAAAACAAGCTTAGAAAAAGTACCCACTAAAACCCATACAACGCACAAACTCCAGTCTTTTTTTCGTTTTCAACTATACTGGCGTGTATCGACTTCAATGCGACGAAAAACAAAAACATACTTTCTCATCTGAAGAGCTTCTGCTCGATATTTAGCCATGCCGTATGCGGCTAGTGCGGCCTGTACACCCGCACCAGATACAATAGGAGCCGCAGAGGCCAAAAATGACAACGCCTGGTTGGTCATGGTCATTGTGAATTCTGTGAAATCTTGAAGATCTCCCATGTCCTCGTCATAGAGGTGTTCATACATGTGTGCGTACATGATTGTTTCTGTAGAAAACGACAAAAATAGTGCACTTAATATTTTTTTGTATAGCTATTGTCAGAATATTCGTATTCTGTCGCAGGTATGTCACTACTTTGTTACAATCTGCCACGAGAATAAGGTTGGAAATGTACCCAACAAAAGACGGTAAGGTCGATATCGAGGCTTCAATTGTAACTATCGCGAGATAACCAGGACGTATATTGCTACAAACAGCCTGATGCACGATTCTGTTAAGGATAAATCTTCGTAATAACTTACCTTTTTGTTCTGGTATAATAGGTCAGGTGTGTATTGTATTACATTCCTTTCCGTGCTCTTCCTTTGTTATACAATCTCGCACAAACACTCGCGTGAGTCGCAAGTTTCCTCAACTCTCGGGTGGGGCCCAGTGTTCGCCACGGGCTGACAGTTTGTGAGAGGCGCTGGGTGGTAGTAAATATAATCAAAATAACAATGTTTCTTCAATCCCGCAACGGCGTGACCGATGAATTGCAACGCGAATCTATTCTAAATTAAACAACTGATTACTACATCAGTTAATTAATAAACAATATTATATTTTCTCAACGAGCCTCCGCAATATGTACTAGACTGATATGAAACGATAGTCACTGTCAATATTAAAAACATTATTTCTTATTATTTAAAAGATATTTTTAATCTCTTCAGTTTTGTGAGTAAGCTACCCGAAAAACCTCTGGGAGTGAGATTGGGGCAGGCGATCAGATTTAAATCACGCTCCTCAGGCTCACTGTGTCGCTCACAGCCACTCCTTGAATCAGAAAATAGCAAAATCCCAAAAACGCCGAAAATATTTTCTATTAGAATTTAGAAATTTATTCTGACTGATGTAACCTTTTTTTTTTTAATTCGAAGTGGACCTATCAATTTTTTTTTTTACATTTGAGGGTTTGCGTCTGAAGCTGAAGGTCAGAAATTAGTCCCATTTTTTGCATCGCTTGATTGGTTGTCCATTCTGAAAAAAAAATCGCTCTAACATTTTCAAAACTTATTAGACCAATAGAACTGTGTACAAAGTTATATTTTGTGAAAATGTCTTAAGGGTCATTTTCCCTCAGTAGCCTCTTTGAGTCTTTTACTCATTCGCTTATTCCGTACTCTTTTCTCATTTGACTCAAAATTACCGAGTCCCGGTCACGTTTGTATATTTTTTTAAATTTTATATTTGTTTTATTTTTCTGCGTAGAAGTTCATAGACTCTTTGCGGATAAAAAAAAATGATATTTGTGTAGCAGATAGTTCCGATTGCTCGCGGCTGCGGCCCGCAGTTTTTTTAGGGGTTTAAATTCACCCCGCTAGTAGGCCACCAGGATCAGACCGTCAACCCAGAGACGGGATTGTAGGCCTCCCTTGTGTGTGGATTTCACTCTCCTAAGTCATAAAGCCTAAAGAGGGCCGATTCCGGCAGAGGCCAGGATTCAGACCCCAGGGACAATTTTGGAAACGTGACAAGTCTGCAATTGTGTATTTATTATATTTATGGACTATTTATGAAGAGGGACAGACACTTTGGAGATTTGGACTCTTCCCTCCGGGTCCTCTTCGGCGCTGACACCTGGCACAGACGAGTCACAAGAGTTTAGGCCTTTAGGACTTTTTGAAAATAAGATTAGTTTACACTCTACTTACTAGGCCTCAATAAACAGTCCTCAGTCATGATTTTTTTTAAACTCCGGGGTAAACTATATATCGGACTCGGGAGTCAGGACGCAGTCAGTTGAGGACTTGTCTCTGAAGAGGACCAGGAGTCAAGGACTCCAGGACCAGGACCAGCACAGGTCCTGAGGTATTCTTTTTGTTTGTTTGTGTATGTAATAGTACTTACATTATTATTTATAGTACAAAAAAATATCGTCACACATGGAGTCATGACTCATGACTCATGACTCATGAAGGCTATATGTGCTCCAGTAGTATTTTATTAGCAAAATAATATAAATATTCAGTTGTATTTGTGCTTCTCTTTTCTGACTATTTGCTCACTACAATGTACACATATCCGCGCGGAGCCTCTGAGTTTGCGCCTTTGCGGGCTGCGCCACTGCGGCCGGCCGCTGCGCACAGTGGGCGAACTTTGCAGTTTGCAACTTTGCATTCGCGAATTAGAGAACTTCAGAAGTTCAGAACCAACTTGTGTGAGTCATGACATATTTTATTTCCAAATCTACATCTGATATATAGCCGATACGTCATAAAAGATTTATAATCCTAATAATACAAGCTGTAGTCAGATTTAAAAATATGAATGTTTATTGCGATTCTTTTTTTTCGATTTGTGTAACCATAAACTTATTTTAAACACCGAACAGAACCACGGTAAATACAAGAAGGTAGTATGTTTACTACTAGAATTGTGTCAATACACCACAAGATGCAGGGTTATCCCTACGAGTGCAGCAGAAGGCAAATGCATTTACCTAAATCCGATGCACAAAATCTCGCTTTCTGCCTTTACACTTTGTCTGCAAATTAGAAACGATTCAGCACTGGTTCTTACCAGCAATGACACAAATACTTTCCTATCTGTATATAGAATAAGAAGACGATACGCCCGATATGGATCTTCAAGAGAAGAAAGGGAAGGGGATTGGGGAATCTGTTTTTGAGTAAGTCGCTATCAGTGCTTATTGGGAAGGACGATTGCGCTTTACTTCGAGTCAGTATACAGTATACAGCGTTTCATCTTGCATATGCGGTTCGATCTAAAATCAAAATTTAAATCCCATATACTTCTCGTATTTAGAGAAATTTCGTGCCTATTCGTTATTCAAATGCGAATCTGGTGCGCTGTATTTATTCACAATTCCTCGGTCCCCAGCCAGAATGGGCGAATTGTAATTATATTACGTGAGGTGTATTGTTTTTACTACCTTTTTTAGAAAATGTGTAGTGTAAATATCAAACTGTGTAGTGAGCACAATTGGTCACTTGCATCTGAAAACTCAAATATGTTGTACCATTTTTTTAAATATGGGTACATATATCTCATCATGTGTGCCAACTCGCAATTGCCAACTGTCATTTCGCGGTTGCCGGTCACGACTTTTATTTGACCGTCTATTTTCACTTCCACTGTTTCACAGTTGCTATTTTACAAAACTTTGGACATCAGATCAATAAAAACTAAAATCACTATGTATTTTTAAATTCACTACAACGTCAATGTAAGATTTAGATCAGTCATCACTCACCATTCATCATCACTGTCATCACTTATCAGTGACCAGCGAGTTAGTGACCACTGGTCACTGGTCACTCGCCACTGAGTCACTGACCACTCCTGCGTGGCCGGTGGCACTGACCAGTCACCAGACTCTGAGACTCAAGACTCACAAGAGCTAAGAGACGGACTGTGAACACAGTGAACACTGAACTGACAGTGTGACACCCCCCACTCCCCACTCCCCAGATAGAGGGCCCAGAGCCCCAGGCCTCAGACCCAGACCCAAACTCCAGAGTCCCAGACTGCCAGACTGGGACTGGTGGGCGGTATGTAACTCAGTGACCAGTTAATCACTGAGGCACTGTCCCGCACTGACCACCGAATCAGTGAATCACCGATAGTCCCATAACTACCCAGCTCCATCACACGGCTCTGGTTCACAAGTTTTCCGCTAATCCAATAAAAGTTGCATTGCGCCATAAGAATACTAAATTATAGTCATTAATTGGTGTATATATCTAAGATTGAAAAATTATCAACAAACCAGATACAGTGCTACTGGGCTATGTACACAACTTTTCTCGCCAAAAAAGACAAAAGTACATAGTTTTACTCTTAATTCGCCTCATAGACTCCTCAACTCCTAAATTCCTATCCAGACTTCCAGACTTCCAGAATTCACTAATTCAGAGTACCCACAGTTGTTTTTTTATTTTATTTTTTGTTTTGAAGTAAAAACAAAACGAACAGATATAAAATAAGAGCCAGCACTCGGCACTCAGCACTCGGCACCGTCAGCACTCAGCACTCAGCTGGTTCTCTTCTTCTTTTTTAATTATAAAGTCTAAACAGTAACCTAGCAAACTAAAACCCAAGGCACATGTGTGCGGGGCTGTGGAGTGTGATGAGTGGTCCGTGGAGAGTGGAGAGTGGAGTGAGGAGTGTGGAGTTTTGGCCCTGGATTCCTGGAGGCTGGATCCCTGGGACTCCTGGGAGTGGATCAATGGATATGACTATGAGACTGTATGAGAGCCCCTTGCCACCTCCCCTGCTCTCTCTGGGGAGTGGGGAGAGTGGAAACTGGAAAGACCCCTGGTGCCTGGTGGACCGGAGACTGACTGGGCTGCTTTGAAGAAAAATCATTACAATCATGAATCAATACCCTAGCTGTTAAAATGGTATTTTAAACACTAAATTTTAAACACTAAATAGCACTGGCATCCGCGTGGTTGTATCGTTCACATGGTATGCCGGGAACGGCCCAGTCTGATTGTTATTATACAATACAGTTCGTGCACGCATTCTGTACTATCTATATATCATACTTTCCACTAAAAGCTACAATACCCAAACGTTTGCACGCTCAAATGTTTGTGCGTGCACCTAGTCATTCATCCTGAAACAGAGTCTAAGCTGATTTAAAGTGGCTCTAGTCCTCTACCTGGATGTATAGCTTCATGTTATATATGTACACATTGTATTAGTACAAGTCAAGTATGAACTTCGACGAATTGCTGTATGTGGTGTCAGGGTTAAATTTAAATGCTTTTCGAATTGGCAAGGTGAGTTTGAGTATTACGTAAATTGAGCAACGATCATTTGTCCCATTGTTGCTATTTTCGCCATAATACAAACGAACGCATATGTCAATACTATATGCTTCTGTGTTGCGTCCCTTAATATACAAGTCGGCATACTTTAGTTAAGAACTGACATAATTTTAGGCAGGATTAAACTGCCGCAAACCAAACAGTCCACAACGTGCACGCTTGCAAAAAAAAAGTGTGTTTTAATATCATCGCTTTACCCCAAATATATATATATGTGTGTCTGTGTGTATGTGTATGTATGTATATG